TTGAGGACAGGCAGGAGGAGTTTGATTGTCTGGCTGCTGCCTCACCTCATCTTGTGTCCGTACTGCTTACCCCTGAGGGAGACCCGGATGCACTTGACATCCCGACTCCGCGCTCTTACGCGGAGGCGATAGAGGGTCCCTACTCCTCTCTGTGGCAGGCAGCTATGGACGCAGAGATGGCTTCCTTGAAGTCCACAGGCACCTACGTTGACGAGGTTCCCCCGCCTGGGGCGAACATCGTCAGTGGCATGTGGATTTTCAGGGTGAAGCGGCCGCCGGGTTCTCCGCCTGTCTTCAAGGTGCGTTACGTGGCTCGTGGCTTCAGTCAGCGGCAGGGAGTTGACTACTTTCAGACCTTCTCTCCCACCCTAAAGATGACCAATCTTCGGCTACTGCTGCACATAGCTGCTCACCGTGACTACGAGCTTCACTCTCTTGACTTCAGCACAGCTTTCCTGCAGGGCAGCCTGCATGAGGAGATGTGGCTACGCCGCCCACCTGGCTTCACTGGGTCTTTTCCTCCTGGCACCCAGTGGAGCCTCCGGCGGCCAGTCTAAGGTCTCCGTCAGGCACCGCGTGAGTGGCACGACACACTGAGGACTACACTTGCGGCTCTTGGGTTTGCTCCCTCTACTGCCGACCCGTCGCTGTTTCTGCACACCGACACTTCTTTGCCGCCGTTCTACATCCTTGTGTACGTCGACGACTTGGTCTTTGCCACAGCTGACACTGCTGGACTCGCCCACGAGAAGTCCGAGCTGCTGAAGAGACACTCGTGCACAGACCTGGGTGAACTGCGTTTCTACCTTGGCTTGCAGATCACCCGGGACAGAGCACGCCGCACCATTACCCTGACTCTGTCACACATGGTGCAGCAGGTCCTTCAGCGCTTCGGCTTCACGTACTCCTCGCCTCAGGCCACTCCTCTGCCTACTCGCCACTCGCTCTTAGCTCTGCCTTCGGATGAGTCCGTAGAGTCGAGTGGCCCATATCCAGAGCTTGTTGGGTGCCTTATGTACCTGATGACCTGCACTCGACCTGACCCTGCATACCCTCTTAGCATTCTCGCACGCTATGTTGCTCCTTGGAGACACAGACCGGAGCACATGGCTGCAGCGAAGAGGGTGTTGCGTTACTTGTGCAGTACGTCAGGCATGGGGCTAGTGCTTGGAGGGCAGAGTCCAGTGGTCCTCACTGGGCACGCAGATGCTTGTTGGGCTGGCGACTAGGCTACGCAGCGGTCGTCACAGGGTTACACCTTCAGCCTTGGTTCCGGCTCTGTTTCGTGGCAGGCTACCCGCTCGTCTTCTGTCCTCGGCTCCAGTTGTGAGCCTGAGATCTACGCCGGGGCCATGGCTACACAGGAGCTTCGTTGGCTCACCTACTTGCTGACTTACCTCGGAGAGCTGCCTCGTTCTCCTCCAGTGCTGTACGTAGACAACAAGGCCATGCTGGCCTTGTGTTGAGAGCAGAGACTGGAGCACAGAACGAAGCACATTGCTCTCTGCTACTTCCTTGCTCGTGAGCTGCAACAGCGTGGTCAGCTGCGTCTTGCGTACGTGGCCTCTGAGGCCAACAGTGCTGATAACTTCACCAAGGCGCTTGCGCCTTGTGATTTTCAGCGCTTCTGTACTCAGCTGGGTCTTGTGCCTGCCTTGCCTCACTTGCTCACCTCTTGACGTTGCTTGTACTTTTACATATATATATACACCTGCTCTTGCTTGTCTAGCCTTCTATATATATATGTGTCAGAGGTCCACTGGTGATCCCCGATTGATCCTAGGGAAGGGTTACAGGCATGTTGGCCTGGGGGGTTATGGGCGCACTGACCCGCTACTTAAACAAGCCCTTTTATCCCAGTGGTTAGTGACTGGGATTCTGACATGGTATTAGAGCGGTCTCGGGTTCGATTCCCAGTGTGTGCACTTCGGGCATCCCAGTGCGGGGGGGTGTCAGAGGTCCACTGGTGATCCCCGATTGATCCTAGGGAAGGGTTACAGGCATGTTGGTCTGGGGGGTTATGGGCGCAGTGACCCGCTACTGAAAAAAGCCCTTTTATCCCAATGGTCTAGTGGTTGGGATTTTGACAATATGTACCAGGGCTGTCGATTCAAGGGCATTTGCCCTTAATGCCCTGAACATTCCGGGTTATGTTTGGCGCAGCTCGACCATTTTAAGGGTTTGATTCGACTGGCACCCGTGCCAGTTAAGGGCATCGTTTGGCCCTTTCCCGGACGCGTTAAGTGCTCAATCTGGGCCGTCCCCTGAATCTAAGTTCTACTTTTCGTTCCGCAGACCATCCCCTAAAATCTTGCGGAACACCCCCTCCCCTACCCCCCCTCTCCATGAAAGTTGCACAATAGGGCGACATGTGGAGGATGTTTCACTCGGTTTTATCCAATCTAGTGTGTAGTGTCGAAGTCGGGAGATGAGTAGAAATGCACAGTAGGTAGTGCAACTGTAGTTGTTGGAAGTTGTGACGTACAGGTTGACTGGAGTAGTTAGTAGAGAGATGTGATTTTCTTGTTTATGATGCTGTTTAGGTTAGTTAAGTACAGAGCACATTGGAGCCCGGATTTCAAGTTTACACTTCGGCCTTTACCCGTGACCGTTAAGGGCGAAAATTTGGTCACCTCCTTGAAAATCAGGGTCAGAATTTCAGCAGCTGGGGGCCTGAAGTTCTGCCCCCAGGGATATCGACAGCCCTGATATGTACTCCTGCATGTGAACTGGCCTTGTGGCCTTGACCTTGTGCTTGGAATGTGTGGTGACTTTGTGATCCACCCTGAGCTTGCTTTGCTTTGCTTTGCTTGACTGGTCTTGTGACCCCTTGTACTCCCCCACTTTGCCTATAGGGGTGTGTCAGAACATTATAGCTTATGCTTTTGTGTAGGCTTTATTGGGGTAGCCTATATGGGGTACAACCCAATTAGGGTTAGTACTTGTACCCAACTCTTTCATACTGCATCCATTCTCGTTCATTCTCACACATCCTGCTTGAAATTGGGTTCAAGCAGCTGCCTCACGATCCAGGGATGTATCGCCCCGACTTCCACAGCGAATACATCCTGCTCACGGTTTACGTCGATGACCTTCTCTAGACAGGGTCAAGCCCCGAATTACTCGAGCAGTTCGGGAAAACCCTTGCGGGGCGTGTCAAAATCACATGCAACCACGACGTGAAGCAGTTCCTCGGCCTCAACATCACCTACTCGCTAGAAGCCATTCACCTCTCAGCACCCAAGTACGCAGAGGAGCTTGGCAAACGCTTCAACATTGCACCTGCACCACTCTCCACACCTTACCGCACTTCAGGACCCAACCACAAGCCTGACAACAAAGCCCTACCCCCAGCTGGGCTTCAGACTTACCAGCAACAGTTGGGATGCCTGCTCTTTGCCTCAGTTACCTGCAGGCCAGATCTATCCTACATCGCAAGTCAGCTGGCTCAGTACTCACGCAAACCAACGGCTGAGAATCTCTAAGATCTCCAGCGAGCACTTCAATTCTTCATCTCCACGCCCAATGTTGGGCTCTGCTACTTCACCATCCCAACCGCATCCTTCAGCCTCATCGGCTACGTGGACGCCGACAATGCTGCCGATCCCGACTATTGATGGTCCAGGACAGGTTTCCTCTTCCGCCTCGAGCCCAGCGGCCCCATCTCCTGGAATTCACAGAGGCAGGAGCTGGTTGCCCTGTCATCGGCAGAAGCGGAGTTCATCGCAGCAACATCATCTGTTCGCGAAGGGCTTTACCTCCAGGAGCTGTTGCAAGAGGCAAAAATTCCAGCCTCTGCGAATTTCCGCCTGCACTGCGTCAACCAGAGCGCGAACAGAATCGCGAACAAGCCTGGTTTCGTTAACCACACCAAGCACATCGCGCTGCGGTACTTCTTCGTCAAGGACGAAGTCGACAAAGGCAAGGCTGACCTAGCCTACTACCCGACGGGTGACATGGCAGCAGATTTCCTCATGATGAAACTGCCGCGACAACAGTACCAGCACTGCTTCGAACTCAGCGGAGTAGTCAAGCGGGTCTAGACGTGCTACGGCCAGGAGTGAAGGGGGGTGTTACGAATAGTAATTGTTGAAACATTATTGTGCACTCCTTACCGCAGCAAGCGAAGCACGTACTATCAAGACAGAAGGTGAAAGGGCGGAAATGACGCGAAGGGTCACACAGTTATGAAAGGCATCTGGACCGTCGGGCAGACAGCATCACGCAGCAGCAATGGCGAGGATTCTGCCCGAATTTCGTAACCACCCGGAGTCGCACGGTTGGATTTCGCTGTAATAAGGGAATGTACCCCTTAGAGTACATTGCTAGCTAGGTCGATTCGAATTCCCTTGTACTCTTATTTATATTCCTTGTGCTGCATGTTTTTAATTATCTCAAGCATTTACATTCACTTTGCTATTGAGGTCAAGGGCCCACCACCACTAGACTAGAAGTGTGCGAACCTTCCTGAGGTGATCCTGGTTACGATCTCTCTATGATTGCAGCAAGAACTAAGGAGAACGGTACAAGTAGGGGTGTTCCTACAATGAGTACATCATAATGGCCTAACATATTCAATAGAGATATTGTTGGGCTGAAAAAGCCCTTAGGATCTTAATAGGACTAAACTCTAAGTAGGAAGAATGTAATAGCGGAAGCGTTTAATGACAAGTCTGTGAACCACCTTGCGCTGGTATGTGAGGGCAAAGTAGATTGATTAAAACCGAAATATAGAATAGTGAACCCCGTCCCAGCTTGAAAGGGTCTTCCGGAGTGGGTTTTCAAACATTTCGTGTGTGCAGATCGAAGCCATTTGATTGGCTCCCGCCAAAAACGAAATTTTTGGGCCTTACACAAGGAGTCGCCTTCAACATGATGCACCCGCACGACGGCTGCACAGCGATCATTGCGATCGTTGGGCCCAACTCCAACTTCAAGCTGGACTTGGGTTCCACTACTTCTTTCTGCTCTAGTCTCTAGTTTAGCCAAGCTTAGAATAGATGGAAACGTAGGCATTTTTGCCTAGGCAACTACCATATTTATAAATTTAATCCTCATCCTTCTATTCGTGGCCTAGTGGCGAGGAATCTTACGCGCCGCGTAGCGACACTTGCCTCGAGATTATTCGGCTGAACGCGCTCGCCGCTGAAACGCCCTTTCGTCGCCCTCTCTCTCGCCCCTCTCTTCCCGTCGTGCTCTCTCTATCCGCGCTCTTCCCGTCGCCTCCCTTCCCATCGCGCTCTCTCTCCCCCCTCCCTTCCCATCGCGCTCTCTCTCTCCGCTCCCTTCCCGTCGCCCTCTCTCCCGCCGCCCTCTCCCTCCCCCCTCCCTTCCCATCGCGCTCTCTCTCTCTCTCTCTCTCTCTCTCTCTCTCTCTCTCTCTCTCTCTCTCTCTCTCTCTCTCTCTCCGCTCCCTTCCCGTCGCCCTCTCTTCCGTCGCCCTCTCTCCCATCGCCCTCTCTCTCTCTCCTTCGCTCTGTCCCGTCGCCCTCTCTCCGGTCGCCCTCTCTCCCATCGCCCTCGCTCTCTCCTTCACTCTGTCCCGTCGCCCTCTCCCCCGTCGCCCTCTCTCCCGTCGCCCTCTCTCCCGTCGTCCTCTATCTCTCACGTCGCCCTCGCTCTGTCCCGTCGCCCATAAAGAGATACAAGCTTCTATAAGAGTACAAGGGAATATGGAGGGTTATAGCTAATAAATGTTTTGCTGTTGATGTTGCGGTTTGATACAGTGACGACTCGGGCAACTGCTCAATAGCGAGGCAGTTGTTTGTCCTTGCTGTCGCGCTGTACTTGTCAGGTCAAAGGTCGCAGACCTTTGATTTTCGCGTAACCTCCAGTAGTTGTTCAACCTCTGAGGGTTGACTCGCCGATGCATCGCTGTGTTTCACTTCGTTTACGACTTAGTGTTTCGACACGACAGAGGCGCTTAAATTACTTGTTTCCAACATATATAAATATAATTTGACAAGTTGGGCCAACCAATACCGGTACTGTATGGATAATGTCAGAGGTCCACTGGTGATCCCTGATTGATCCTAGGGAAGGGTTACACTAACCCGCTAATTAACAAGCCCTTTTATCCCAGTGGTCTAGTGGCTGGGATTCTGACATGGTATCAGAGCGAAGGTCTCGGGTTCGAATCCCGGTGTATGCACTTCGGGCATCCCAGTTCGGGGGGGTGTCAAAGGTCCACTCGTGATCCCCGATTGATCCTAGGAAAGGGTTACAGGCACGTTAGCATGGGGGTTATGGGTGCACTAACCCGCTACTTAACAAGTCTGTCAGAATCCCAACCACTAGACCATTTGGATAAAAGGGCTTGTTTCAGTAGCGGGTCAGTGCGCCCATAACCCCCCAGGCAAACGCGCCTGTAACCCCCCCTAGGATCGATCGAGGATCTCACAGTGTAGCTCTACTGACACCCCCCCACACTGGGAGGCCCAGGACTGAGCACAGTAGCAACGGCCAACATGTCCATACACCGGGATTCGAACCCGAGACCGCTCTGATATCATGTCAGAATCCCAACGACTAGACTACCGTCACCCCCCGGATATACCCCCATGGGGGGCAATAATAAAACAGGTTTTTTCAAGGGGGTGGGCTTATAATCGAGTAAATTTATAAGCGCCGGCGTTTATAAAATGACATTCATATTTTTTATATTGTTTAACACCAAACTGTAGGTCTCGTGCTTGCCCTTTCAATCGAGTCGAATTTACATGGGGTCGTCTGTGAAATTCTCGCGCGCGCTGGGAGACACACCCAATCTGACTCACATCCAGCTCCTGACAGCTCCTGCTGACTGGACCCGCATCCAGTGCAGGGTCCGAATGTGAAGGGAACCGAATCTGCAACATATCTGCCTGCTAAAGTAAAAATCATTACAACGTTTTGTACACATTTCAAATTTTAAAGTTTACGTGCGCTTATAATAAAACTAGTTTTTTCAGGGGGTGCGCTTATAATCGAGGAGGGGATATAAGCGCCATATGCCAATTAGAAGCGCCAGGCGCTTATCCTAGGGTGGCGCTTATATCCGGGGGGTGACGGTATTGGGATAAAATGGCTTGCTTCAGTAGCGGGCCAGTGCGCCCATAACCCCCCAGGCAAACGCGCCTGTAACCCCCCCTAGGATCGATCGGGAATCTCTTAGTGTAGCTCTACTGACAAAGTCCTTTTATCGCAGTGGTCTAGGGGCTGGGATTCTGACAGATAATATAATAATTTTCTTAGCAAATAAACCAAAGATGGCCGTAAAAATGCCCGCCCGCCCACCTCTTTATACCGATTCGTCCGCATTTCTATCCTGACTCATCCACATTTTCTTCTCCATAAACTAATTTTCCAGCCATTTTTATTGGTAATTTCAGTGAATTTATAATGTAATATCTGATTCGTATTTTTGCTTCGCATTCTGTCTTTCCAGCATACCCCGACACCAATACCTAGGCGAGATTGATCGTAGAGCTCATATACCAATATAAATACCTATGCGAGATTGATCCCAACATAAATTCTGTTCCTTTATGTAGTACCTTATACCTTAAGTTGAATTGTACGACAGTCCATACATAAGTATAGAGTAGTTCTTGGGGAGTACAGTAAACTAGGTACTGTATCGACTTGATGTTTTACGTCCAGGACCTAGTCTGAATTGTTCTTTGCCTCGAGAGCGCGTACGAATTGTACCAGAATCATGTCATCATTCAGAAATGAGAATTCTCACACGCCGATATCCTTGGTTCAGTGGTCGTGGTTGTCGTCATGCACGTGGTTGCACTTTGTGACAACCCGTGCCCCAGAAGTTTCATGATGCAGCCAGCCTTTTTCCATGTGTGGTGTGCAAAGTCCACATCATGTGCACATAGCGTTAGCGATGCCCACTGTGCCATGGTCTTCAAGTATTCATTACAAAACACACCCACTCACTGGCTTTCAGCCTAGGAGCAAGCTCCAGGTCACGTCAGTCAGCCCACACCTGCCAACATGGCAGTTGCTGGTAGGCCGTAACGACCCACCAACCACTGCCAGCACTTTACATTTGCATGTGGGTCACAGCGCATGCCACAAACGAGGTTTCGGGGAAGGGGTACCTTGTCCACTGAATCGGAGCTGATCGGCTCTGATTGGGTCTGATCGGCTCTGATCGGATCGGATCGGATTGCTTGTGATCACTTTGCTCGAGCCGCTCGAACAGCAGTGTCTCTCTTCGAAGTTTCAGAGCTGTAGCTCGGCAAACGCAGAAAAACATTACGTGGAAATTCTCATCCAGCTCACGCGAGACTGGCGACAGAATGTCACCTGGCGAACACATTTGTTTCCCTGTAATATCGTCAACCCCTGGAGAGTTCTCACAATGTGCCATGCATGAGCGAGGAGCTCACGAGACTAAGTTCAGCAGTGTAACATTTCGCAACCGTCGTTATGGCCCTCGATCACATGCAATCAACTGATCGAGGGTGATTGAGCAAAATCGAGTTTGATCGGGGTTAAAATCGGGTGTGATTGAGTTGGGGCGATCAGCTGTTCGTGATCAGCTGATTGCCCCCTATTGCATGAAATTGGCTTCCAGGCTTCCTCGAAGTTACTGATCGCTTCTGATCGAGGCAATCAAACTCGATTGGGCCCACGTCCTTAGTTGGTGCTTTGCTGTGACACTGTAGTCCTCCGCCATACTGTGCGGTACTCTATTGTCAACATATGAACAAGGTCCGTGCTGATTTTGCCTTGCAGCTTTGGGCCGAACCACGCACCAAATCTGGGAGCTAACAGCCTCACTTTTGGTTTGGACCAAATTCCACCAAAGAGCCTTTCACGAGGTCACTCCCACTTCTGAGAAACAACAACTTATTACCTACATACCTAGACTCGGAGTAGAGACGTAAGTATGGGAGGTGTGGAGCCGTCACCATACGGGAAAGGGATCAGCGTGGTGGGGACGGAGGCTGGAGTGGAAATATTCAGGACTTCCTCCCAAAACCCGAGGGCGTCGAAACGGTCCCTACAGAAGATCCCTGAAGTAGCCCGCAGGTCAGGAATTTAGTCCCAGAACGCTGAGGTAACTTATAATGAGACAATTGTTAATGAGTGCGGTGCAAGAGTCCCGTCGTTCACTTCACCTACTCCGTTCGTTGATGGTAGACAGACGAGTTTGGTCGGGCAGCAAATGCAACAACATACACAGCTGAAACAGTTCAATTCACGCACCCAGGGCCATGGCCCCGTCCCACTTCAACTACAGTGTGGTGGTCTGCCGCTTTGCTGCAGCAGCAGTGCTGCCCGCCAATCCGTGCAGTGCAAGCTTCAGGTCAGGTCCCTTCCAGCGAATGCACTCTCGGCCGACTCGACTAGCTTGACTGCTTTGGTGAGAATCCACCACACCACCAACTACCACTCTTTCTGTTTATCTTCCCCGTCTTCTGTTCACAAAAAAGCAGGTCCAAAATTTCCTTCTCACCAGGAACCAGTAAGTCCTTCAAGGCAACCTCAATCAGTGTACAGCCACTACGCTTTTCTCACCTTCCTTCCTCCAAACCTTGTTCTCACACACGATTCCCAGACTACCCACACCTCAGTCGTATCAATCCCCCAACGTTTAGCGCGTCCCGACTTTCACGCTTGTTTCGCGTCGCGCAGCACTAGCCTATCCCGCTCGTCTGATGGCTCAAGAGAGCTGGGAACGGGAGCAGGGCTCGGCGGGCTGCAAGCAATCCGACCGGAACATTCTCTGTGCCAACAACTGCGGCTTCTTCGGAAGCGCGGCGACGCTCAATATGTGCTCGCAGTGCTACGGCGAGCACGTAGCCAAGACCATACAAGCCGCCGCCGCTACCGCTACAACAACAACAACTGCAACCTCTTCTAGCTCCAACCCCTCCGCCAGTCCGCAACGCATGCAGCCGCCAGTAGCTCTTCGCACCGACCCGTGCCCGAGCGGCGCCACCAGCGGCAGCGGAAGCGGTATCGCCGCGGCCGTGAGTTGCGGAGGCGCGGAGAACGTCCAGAGGACGGGTTTCCCAGTCGAGCCGTCGGCACATCCGTTTTCGGCCAGGAAGGAGGAGATTGACGTACGCGGGCAAACGCACCCTGCGCTTGCGAGTATCGACACTCGAGCTTCGTCTGCTTCTCCTTCCGTCGCCGCCGCTGCTGCGGCTGTCGTCGCGCCTGCGCTTCCTTGCGTTGGTGGCAGCAGTAGCAGTAGCAGCGGCAGTCGCGCGATTCGGTGCATGTCGTGCAAACGGCGGGTGGGGCTGACGGGCTTCAAGTGCCGGTGCGGAGACATGTTTTGCGCGATTCACAGGTACTCAGACAAGCACGCGTGCTCGTTTGACTACAAGACAGCTGGTCGCGAGGCGATTGCGAAGGCGAACCCGATCGTTAAAGCCGATAAGGTGGCCAGGTTCTGAAGCGACACGGTGGTTAATAGCCGTTGGGAATTGATGCGATGTGGATAATTCGGGGTTGCTTTCATCCGGTATCGGGTCTCGGAGGTGTTGTGAAAGAACAAGGGAAGGAGAAGATCGAGCTTGGCCGGTCTGCCGGGAGCTACCAGGATGAAGAGGAGTAGTGCTGACGAGTCGGACGTGTTCGTCCTCTCTCCTAAGCTCTAATCGTTCCCTCGTCGACGTCCGCTTCTTCCGTTTGCTCGTTTCAAGGGTGCCTTATTCCCTTTTATAAATCATATCAGTCGCTCCCTGTGCTGATTCCGTGTGCGTGTTCTGCTACACCACACTGAAGATTTATGGAGTTACGTTTTCTTTCACTTGTGATCGAACAGACCAGACCAGCTTGCCACTTTCAAACCCTGGTTCCCAGGGAGGCACCAGGTTCACTAATTAATTGCCTTCACCGCCACTGCACAATAACTCTTAGTGCACAATGATGGTTGTGCTACCGTAAATTTTTTTTTGCCGGATTGTTGGATGGACCTCTTCTATTGAATTCCTGATCATCCAGAAAGGGTGCAAACACTACACTATCAAATATTGCAGGCACATAAGCAGATTGTAATAATTTTCTTTCATGCACGTTTTGCAACTAGCGAATCATTCTCCATCCGCGTTACAAGTTCACCGCCTGCCCATTTCCGCACACGAGTGACCAACGCAAATTCTAGCCTCTCCCAAGTAATCGCGCTCCGGGAGGTTCAGCGGTGCGCATTTATCCTACATAATCTCGTCAGGACCCGCAGAACGCGGCATGCTGAGACCGCGCCAAGGACGCTGCGACCGTTCCACCGTTGCGCGCGACGCGGCCGAATGGGTCGAAACGCAGGAGGAGCTTCAGGCGCTACTGGCAGACCCGCTGCTCGCCGACGTGGCGGCTGACGTGTCGCTGGAGGAAGTCGAGACGCTGATTGCGGCGGAAACGGGCGGCGGGATGAGGCTGCGAGTTAGGCGATTAGATGGCGGCGAGTATGGTGAGAAAGGGGTGGCGTGAGGGGAAAGAGAGGGAAGAGGGGAGTGGGTGGAACATGGAGACAGGAGGTTCTGCTTCCTTCTTTTCATTGCTAAGCTTTCTTCTTTTCATCTCTTCCTTGTGCGAATGTCTATCCTCCCTCTTTGAATATCCTCCGTGGGTTCAGACATGTCTTCCTCGTTCAGTTCTCTTTCCTCCACTTTATATCTCCCTCTTGGTGGAAGATGCCGTCACTTCCACAGTGTCATGACTCATGGCGTGATTGCACTCTCTCTCTACTTTGTCCACTTCTACTCAGAAAACTCCCGAATAACATCTTACTTGTCGTCGCGCGCACTCTCGAGGACATTCTTACCTGTATCAGCATCTCTACTTCTCCTCCTGTCTCCCTGCAGCGGTGGTGGTGCGGCAGTCAGCAACAGTGGGGGACCTGAGGGCTGCGGTTGAGAGGGGGGCGCGGAGATGGGCGCAGGGGGAGGGCGCGGAGGCAGGGTGGGCTCGGGGGGAGAGATGGCGAGAGGGGGGTGGCGTGCGGGAGCGAGGGCAGGGAGGGGAGGGTATGGAGAGGAGGGAAAAAGGGGAGGGCGGGCAGGATGGTGGAGAGTTGAGGGAGAGGAGAAAGCGCGAATGGGGAGGGAGAGAGAGCGTTGGGGAGGAGGGGAGAGAGGGGGTGAGGAGTGCGGAAGATGGTGGTGTGATGAGAGGTGGTGAGGAGGGAAGGCGAGGGGTGCGCGAGAAGAAGGCGAGGAGAGAGATGAGGGCGAGGGGGGAGAGGGGAGAGAGGGGGGAGAGGGGGGAGAGGGGGGAGAGGGGGGAGAGAGGAGAGAGAATGGAGGGAAGGGAGAGAAGGGAGGGGCAAGAGCAGGAAGAGAGTAACAATAGGAGGGGAAAGTTTATACGGGAAGGTGGGGAGGTTGAGGGAGGAGGGCAAGCGGATGAGGGAGGAGGGAAACAAAATGTAGTTTTGGAGGAAGAGGGTGAAATGGAGGAGGATAATGACGAGGAGGAAAAAGAGCGGGAGGGGGAGGAGGAAGAGTGTGGAGGGCAGTCGCGAGATGGACATGTGTATGCAGTGCCGTCACACAGCCGAGGCATCTCATGGTGAGGCTCGTGAGGTACATGCATGCATGCATGCATGCGTACATGCGTACATGTGTGTGGGGAGAGGGAGAGAGAAGGGGGGAGGAGGGGGAAGGTAGGGTGGGAGGGGGTGCGTGTGTGCATTCGCGTGCGTTCCCGTGCGTGCGCATGCGTGCGTGTGCGTGTGTCTATGTGTCTGGCTATCCTTCCGCCCATTTCCCCTTCTTCCCTGCCTTCCCACTCATCTCCCTATCATCACTCCTCCACGCACCCCCCCAGGCGCTACATCTGGTCGCATGCATGCCTGGCAGTGGACGGCCATCCTCTCCCCTTCCACTCTCCCACCACCCCTCTGCTCGACCTTGGCCTCACCAACGGAGACCAGGTGTGCTGTTACCCACGTTTCTTGGTTTCATTCCCTCTGTTCGTTCAAGCCTGTGCGCGCGCCCACTATGAAAGGTAACTAGGTTGTGCGGCCGGCCACCTCTGTGTTTTCCTTCTCTTCTTCTTTCACCCCTCCTCTTACGGTATCTTGAAAGCTTCTGTCATTTCTTTCTCTCCCCCGTATCGCAGCCCCCACTCCCCTGCCTTTCCTTCCCACTTGAGCTGAGAGTGCATCATATCTCCCTCTTTCGTATGGCACACTGCTCTCCTCCTGTGCCTCTGTGTGTACGCTTGTGTGCGCTTGTGTGCGTTTGTTTGCGCTTGTGTGCGAATGTGTGTGCCTCCGTGTGCTTGTGTGTGCATGTGCTGCAACGGCCCTCAGCTGTGCTTTCTGCCGTACCGCCCACCAACCACCAAGAGACACCAGCGGGCCAGACACTGGGGAATGGGATGACCAGCACGTTATGTCCCCCCTCTCAGCCCTCCTCTCTTGGATGAGCCGACTGAGACAGATTGTATGGCTGAGTATGGGGGAAGGTGGAACAAAAAGGGCAATGCAGGGAGTTGGTCCCTGGGATGACCAGCACATAATGTCCCTCCCTCCCAGTCCTCTCTTGGATACGGTAAGCCAAATGAGACAGATATGCAATGGGATGGCTGAATATATTTTTTCTTGCTCCATACAGAGATTGGTGACCTTCAGCATCCTTTTTTTGTGTTACTGTGGTAGTCATATTGCAACACATGATTATCTGTTTCACGTTAAATCACTATAATACCCACCACAAACACAGTACTGCATTATCCCTACGGTAGAACGTTAGTGAAACAAGATGCTAATCCAATACATCAGCGTGAGAAGGAAACCCATGAAACACAGCAATGACATTCCATGCCATGCCGACCCATTCAAGCCCATGTCATAGCAAGCCATGCATGCCATTTCATGCCAGCCAAACCTATCACCGTACTCCCTGTTCCTCCCAACCAACTCCCTGCTTTGCCCTTCTGTTTCACCTTTCCCCATGCCACAGCAGCAGGACCCTGAGCCTGCTGCAGCACATATGGCGCACAACATAGCACAGCACAGCACACCCCCCAAAAATTGCAACACAGACAGACAATGTGAACTCGGGATGGAACAGGCCGGTCAACATGGCAACCACTCTTGCATGCACCAACCTCCCCCCAACTCCCACACTCCCTCTCCTCTCTCCCCCCCACCCGCTCTCTCCCCCTCCCCCCCCCCCCTCTTCCTTTCCTCATCGCACCAACACCCCAGATCTCCACGCTTCTCCCCTCCTTCCCACCATTAAAACGGCACATGTGAACTCTCCAGACCTCTCACCCCATCCCCACCCGCGCCACTCCTCAGCTCTCCTCAGCAGCAGCGTCAGCATCAGCAGCGGGTTGAGAGGAGGGAAGGCCAAAGATGCGCAGGTTGCGATCCATGGCTGCCACGGCCACGTATGAGGCATCGGGGCCGAACTCCGCACACGTCACCTTGCCTGGGGGGGGGCGGGAGGGGAAGGTGCGGGGGAGAGGGGGGGAATGGGGGAGAATGGGTGGGGAGGGGAGGAGAGGTGGGCAGGAACGGTGGGAACAAGGTCAGAAGAGGAGGCGGCAGAAAAAAAGGGAGGAGGAGAGGAGGAAAGGTGGGGTTGCGGAGAGGGGATGGAGACAGCAGGGAAAGAGGGGAGGGGAGGCCAAAGATGCGCAGGTTGCGGTCCATGGCAGCCACTGCCACGTATGAGGCATCGTGGCCGAACTCCACACACGTCACCTTGCCTGCGTGGGGTGAGAGGGACGAAATTGAGGTTGATAAGAGAGGACGAGGGTGAGGAGAGAGAGGATGCAGGAAAGGAGGGAAAACGGATGAGAAGGGCGAGGAGGAAAAGAAGATGGGCGATCGGGGAGAGGTGGACCTGTGTCGACCTGTTGCACTGACCTGTGTCGACTCAAAGTCGCAAGAGACAGGGAGAGGTGGAGGGAGGAAGGGGAGAAAGTGAGGGGAGGGGGGATGGGCGAGCACTGACCTGTGCCTGAGAGGTCGGGGATGGTCTTGATGGAGTTCCACTCCTGCTTCACCGTGCCCACTTGAATCACCCTGTGGTTGCGGTAGGTACAGGTGCGCGGATGGTTGGAGAGGGGGCAGTGGGGGGAGAGAGGGGGATGGGAGGGGGAAGAGTGAGTGAGAGAGAGTTGGGTGGAGGGTGGCGAGAGGGGAGGGGTGGGAGGGTGGTGAGAGGAGGGGGGCGGGGAGAGGGAGAGGGGCGGGTGAGAGGGAGCGTGGCGGTGAGAGGGAGCAGGGCGGGTGAGAGGGGGCTGGTAGACCAGCAGCAGGTCAGAGAAATTGAGGGAGCGCGAGTGAGAGAGAGTGTGAGAGAAGATATGCGAGAACCGTTACTAGAATGACATGCGGCACACTGTGGTGTGGTGTGGCTTACCGGACATCTGATCCTGCCATCGCGAGGTAGGACCCACTGAAGTCAAACCGGACTGCGGGGACGGAGAGAGAGAGGGGGGAGAGGAGAGCGCGGGCAAAGGGGAAGGGAGAAGAGGGAGAGGAAGAGAAAGAGAAGCTCTGAGACGCTTCACGACTGGACTGCGGAGAAAGGGGACGGATGGTGAGAATAGCAATAGCACAGTAGCAATAGAACCACAGCAGCAGTAGCAGCAGCACCAACCACGGTGGGCAGTGGTCGTACCGCTGTTGGTGGGAGTGGTGGCCTCGAAGGGAGCAAAGGTGCGGAAGTTCTTGAGCTTGCGCAGATCCCACAGCTTCACCCCGTCCGATGCCGCCGTCTGGGGAACAGGGGGATGATAGATGGGCGATGTGGGATGGGGGAAAGGGGGGGAATTAAGGTGGGGGGATGGGAGAGGGAGCACGGGACGGAGGAGGGAGGACGGAGGAGTGAGAGGAGGGAGGTGGGCGGCATGAGCGTGGGCAGAAGTGGGCAACGGCCTGTGGTGGTGCGGCGTGTATAGTACAGGGGGACAAAAAGGGAAGCGCAAGGGCAGAGCGGAAAGAGAAAACCTGGGGAACAGCAGCAGGGGACAAGGGGAGGAGATCCAGCAGGGGAATCATTCAGCAGTATGCTTATTTATCAAGGATGGGATGGATATGCGAGGGGAAGGCTTGGCTGGGCTCTGAAGATGTATGTATAACAGCAAGGCCTTACACAGCCCTGACGAGGAGATGGGGATGAGGATGAGAGGCAGGGGCGGGGCTTACGGCAAGGAAGTATCCGTTTTCTGAGAAGCTGATGGCTGTGATGGGCCCTGAATGGCCCTCAAACTTGGCCACATTGGCCTGATGGAGAGAGCGAGGTGGGGAGATTGGAGGGAGAGAGACATGCGCACAGAGACAGGCGAGTGGAAAGGCATTCGGACACACGGCACCAGAACGCGCGCACATGCACACACAAATGCATGCTCCTGCCAAGCACATACAAGTAGATACAAAGCGCACGGATATGGGCCTATGAAAGTTGAGAGAAAGCTCTGACCTGCCCCGTTTCACCCACAACAACCTGCCCTGACCTGTCGCCCCCAGCATAACAACCCCCTACTCCCTCCTATTCCCCACTATGTTCCTCTCCCATTTCCTCTCTTCCCCTCTCCTCGCAACCCCCCCCCCCCCCTTGCGCGCCCACCTGCGTTTTGACGTCCCAGATGCGCACGAGAGACTCGGCAGTGCCTGTGCCCAGGATGAGCCCGTCCGGGTGGAACGACGCAGACGTGTACCCCTCCGCCAGTGACTCGTCCGCCACCTGTGCGCGGGGGAGGGGGGGAGGAACGGGGGGGAGGGCGGTGGGTGGGAGGAAGGTGAGGCGAGGGCGGGACGAGGGGCCTGTTGAAGTGGAAGGACGGGTTTTTTGAGAATTCTCAAAAAAAGACGAGGGGCCTGTTGAAGTGGAAGGACGGGGAAGTGTTGCCCTCCGCCAGGGACTCGCCCGCCACGTGCTCGCTCGCGCGGGTGCACACATGTGATGTGACACATGGTGGTATGGGCAGGATGAAGGGGGTCATGGGCGGGGAGAAGGGGAAACGCTGGCTAGCTAGCGCAATGCTGGGACGTGGGCGGGACGAGGGGAGGAAGACGGGGGGCCACAGGAGGGACGACACAGCATAATGGGAAGGTAGGAGGGTGGGTGGGAGTGGGAGGGGAGCGGCGCAAGGTACTTACTTGCGTGAGGCAGGCGCCCGTGGTGAGGTCGAAGAAGGCCCACGTCTTGTCTGCTGACGCGGATACAAAGTACTTTTTGGTCGCATGCACTGTCACCGCCCGCACCTGCATGGGGGGGAGGCATGGGCGCAGCGAGAGGTGGAGAGGCGGGGTGAGGGGTGAGAGGGGAAGAGACGCGCGGTGAGGGGGGAGAGAGGGGGAGAGGGGCGGTGAGGGAGGGGGAGAAAAAGGGTGGGAAAGACGAAGGTGGGGAAAGGGGGCAAGAAGGATGGGAGAGGGGGCACAGAGAGAATAGAGAGCGGGGAGCATGGGGGTAGAAAGAATCACGATACGAGAAGTATGAGCAAAACCCCCCTAGCCCAACCACCGCAACAAGCCATGAGACAGGAGGAAAAAACCATCCAGACTGTATTCAACCACGTGATGGATGGACGAGGAACTTGGTCAGTATTCAACCCATCCATCCATCTCATACCCCCCGCCTCACAGCCCACACATCTAACAACCACACCAACGTATCCTCCCACCATCCTCCCAGACCCTCACCCCTCACTGACTCCATCCCCAACCCCTCACATCCACCTCCTCAGCCCCTCACCCCGTCCCCAGCTTCTTACAACCCCACCCATGCATAGGTGCGCATTGCGCCCCATCCCCCCATCTCCCCTCCCACCCACCCATCGTTCCATGTTCCGTTCACCCCTTTCCACCCCACCACCACCCATCCCCCCTGCTCCTCCCCGCTTTTCCCACCCCACCTTTCCAACCCACACCATTCCAACCCCCTCCTCCCCCCCTTTCCAGCCCCTCGGTTACCCCCATGACACCGCACCTCAGCAGTGTGTTCCTTCACACATGCTGGCACTCGTTACCCCGACTGTTGACTCGACTGAACAACCACCACGTTCCGCCCCCTTCCTCCAAAACTGTTCTCCCTTCCCTCACTCTCCTTCCGCCACCCTCTCCCCCCCCCCCCCCCTTCTCCTTTCCTCCCCCCACCGTCATCGCGCACCTCAGCAGTGTGCTCCTTGAGCACGTGCTGGCACTCGTAACCGGACCTTACACGAGTCACCACTCTCCGTTCCTCTCCCTCCCCCCTTCTTCCCCCCCTCCCACTACCCCTGCACCGCACCTCAGCAGTGTGTTCCTTGAGCACGTGCTGGCACTCGTACCCCGTGGAGTCCTCGTTGCCCCTCCACACGCGCACCGTCTGCCACAAGCAGCGCCAGGGCGCACCACAAACCGGGGGGGAGGGGGGGGGGGTAAAAACTTTTATTTCTTCAAGATTATTTGAATATGATGTATGTTTTTTGTACGTGTTTTGATGAATGTCTACACAGAAATGGCAACTGGACGTGCCCTGAGGCTAAGGGGGCAGAAGCGAGGGAAGCGGAGGGGTATGATCAGGAGACAGGGCAGGCAGTGCACTGGGGGTGCTATGGGTGGAAAAGGAGTGGAAGAAGGGGAAAGGTGCGAGTAGTGGAAAAGGGGGGAGGCGGGGGAGGCGGGGGAATGAGGGGCAATGCCTTGGGGGTGTTTTGAAAAAGAGGAGAGGGGGAAAGACGGGGGGAGGAGGGCGGTGGTACAGACCTTGTCAGCGGATGCGGTGAGCAGCAGGTCTTCTGGCGCCACAAACTTGACTGCGCACACCTGGGGGTGGGGGAGGGTTGCGGGTGTGGGGGGGGAGTGGGGGGGCGCATGGTGGGCGGCGCAGGCGCGGGAGAGTGGAGGGGGAGGAGGAAGGAAGAGGGAAAGGGGAATGTGGAAGGAAGAAAGAGGGAGGGCGGAGGGAGGAGAGGGGAGGGAAGGGGGCAGCGAGGGAAGACAGAAGAACAGGCGATGAGAGCTGGAAAACTAGAAGGTGAAAGAAGAGCCTGGTATACGTGCAGGAACGCTCACAGGAGTGGTATCAAATGCAAGAGCGGGTCTGGTCCAAGGAGTGCAATGCTTGTGGGACGTCTTAACAAAAGAAAAGAAATCCCAAAACTCGAGAGCAATGCAAGGGCGAGAACGGCAGAAGGGCGAGAGCGAGGGAAGACTGACTGACCCGCTTGGTGTGGCCAGTGAGCGTGGCAACGATCTGCCCTTCGTCCCGTGCAAACACGACCGCACTGGCGTCCACGCCCCCCGTCAGTATGCGGTTCTGCCGGGTTGAGTCATGGCCCATGCGGGACATACATGAGGGAGGGGGAGAGGGGGGAGAGAGAGGGGGTGGGGGAGGGGAGGAGGAGAGACGGGGGAGACGGGGGGGAGCGGACGGAAATAGGGAGGAGAATGGAAGGGAAGGAGGGAGGACTGCGCTTGTGAGAGGACTTTCTCTGGCTCCGCATTCTTCTGGTTTCATCACAGGTAAGCGCACAAACAAGAAGAGGTGTGGAGGAGAGGCGAGGAAAGGGGGGGGGGGGGGGAGGGGTGATGAGGGTGCTGCAGTGACAGAGCGGCCTACAAGTTTGGAAAGGATAAAATAGAGGACAGTCGTGAGCGAGGCGCAGAGGAAAGGAAAGGGGAGGAGGGGGACGGGAGGAGGGAGGGGGGAGGGGGAAGGATGAGAGGAGGAGGTGGGAGGAGCGAAGGTAGGGAGGGTGAGGAAAGAAGTCTAAAAAAAGGAAGGAGGGGTGGGGGAGGGAAGAGGGACGTGCAGGGGCGGGGCGGGGCAGGGGGGCGAATGACCTGTTGCGGGTGGATGTCGAGGGCGAGGATGCCGGGCTTGGTGGTCTTGTGCAGCGGATGGCTGCTCAGCTGCGTGTACTTCTCCACCGCGCCTAGTGCCGCCAGCGATGAGGAGATCTGTGAGGTTGCACGCGGCAGGGAAGGAGGGGACGAGGGGAGCGGGGAGGAAGAGAGGAAGAGAGGAGAGACGAAGGGAGGGCGAGAGGGGTAAGGAAGGAGGGAGGGAGGTGGGGAGGGAGGGAGGGAGGGAGGGAGGGAGGGAGGGAGGGAGGGAGGGAGGGAGGGAGGGAGGGAGGGAGGGAGGGAGGGAGGGAGGGAGGGAGGGAGGGAGGGAGGGAGGGAGGGAGGGAGGGAGGGAGGGAGGGAGGGAGGGAGGGAAGGAGGGAGGGAGGGAGGGAGGGAGGGAGGGAGGGAGGGAGGGAGGGAGGGAGGGAGGGAAGGAAGGAGGGAGGGAGGGAGGGAGGGAGGGAGGGAAGGAGGGAGGAGGGAGGGAGGGAGGGAGGGAGGGAGGGAGGGAGGGAGGGAGGGAGGGAGGGAGGGAGGGGGTGTTAAGGGTGCAATGGTGTTTATTAGGCTGAAAAGAGGGGGAAGGAGGACGAAAAAGAAAGGGATGGAAAGGGGATGTCGGATGCACTTGTGGCATGTGGCTCATAAAGTGCATATGAAGTGCACATGAAGGCCCAAACACACGCAGAGAAGCACAAGCGGCTGGGCGCACGCACGCACGCACGCAGGGGCACACGCACGCACACACGCAGGGACACACGCAGGGGCGCACGCACCTGGCGCTTCTTGCGTTGCGAGGAGAGCTTGGCGTTGCAGGCGGTCATCTCGGCGATGATGGCGTCCGTGATGCCCGCCGCCTGCTGCTTCGCCCTCTTCGCCGCCCTCGCATCCTCCTCGCCCTCCGCCCCTCCCTCGTCCCCCGCTGCTCGCATACATGCACGCACACAAAGCACGGACACGCACGCACGCATGAACCCACGCATACCGAACACGCATGCACGCACGCACACACGCACCAAGCACCCGCCAAGCAGAAAACACACGAGACGGCGCACGGAAAGCACAAGCGCACGGGGCAGGAAAGAGCGTCTTCTTGGAAATGTCAAGGCAATCACATGGGACTAGCAGGACAGCAAGTGACAAGTCTCATGTGATCGCACTGGCGCAGCCAGCAATGGTGCAAGACATTGTAGACAGCAAAAATGATTTGCATTATTCGCCCCCTCTTCTCTCGTTCTTAGCCTGACAGACTAGCACTAACTCTCTTTGTTCGTAACCAGGTGATCATAACCTGGTTGCTGCTTTCGAGTTTCGCGAGCATCCCTTTAGTGCTGCTTCCTGTCGCAAAGGACGCATTTGCACGCAAAGGCATACTCGCCACCCTATCAGCAGCGCATACAGCAACAGCAAGCAAAAACTTGCCGTCTATATCAGCGCACCAGCACAGTACTCTGCTCCCTGAACTGGTCGACATACCTCTCTTGCCGTTCGGCATGGACGCCGCCGCCGCCGCGTGCGGCGCTCCTTGCGGCACGGCCGTGCGCATCTGCTGCTCCGCCTGCGCCAGCAGCAGGCGCGCCTCGTCCCTCTCGCGGATCAGCCGCGCGATCACACGACACGCCGCGTCCGACTGTCATTCGCGCAGTCGCACACCATTCGCACAACGTCAGTCGCACGCCATTCGCATAACGACCATCGCACGCCATTCGCAGACAAATCAACCCACAGTCACCACATCAACGCACCCATACGCAACGCACACACCCGGAAAGCAGTTATGCAATCGGCACATACATCTGTCACAAATAACCGAGCATGCATCACGCACAAACGGTGCCATACACCACCTAGCACATAACAGCACGTCTAAGCCCAGCAAGGAGCCCGACCAGAATACGCTTTTGAGTCGACTCAAAAGCAGACTGAGCCATACACCACCTAGCACATAACAGCCGATTTTTGAGTCGACTCAAAAATCGACTTATCACACACGGTCTAAGGGCGGTACGGAGCGGAGCCCGACCAGAGCACGACAAACCAAATCGGTAGGTACGCAGCGCAATGATTAGCTGCGCCAAGCCTCGGGTTGGTTGGCGCGTTTAGGGTTTGAAAAAAAAAAAAAAAAGACGCCAAAATTATGCGCGAATGGCGCATCTGGTATCGACCTTACGTGCTGATATCAGCCTTACCTGATATAGCCATGGCCCTAGCAGCACTTGCCAATCCAACCCTCCTTAACCCTAAACGCACCTGACATAGTCCTTTTATAACCCCAGCCTTACCTGCTACATCCGCCCTGCTCAGCCCAGAATTTTCTGCTACATCCGTCCACCGCCGGCCCAGCCATACCTGCTACGTCCGTCCTCCAGGCCCGCCGGGCATACCTGCTACATGCGCCCTCCTGGCCCTAGCCTTACCCGCTAAATCCGCCCTCCTCAGCCCTAGCCTTAGCTGATACATCCGCCCCGCTCGGCCGCCCTACCCTTAACTGACACATCCGTCTTCCCGGCCTCGGGGCATACCTGGTAGAGCGCGTGGCTGAGCTCCTCGCGCGCCGTGTTGAGCTGCTTCTCCAGCGCGAAGTCCCGCAGCGCCACGGCGTCCCATTCCTGGACGCGCGCCGGCACACGCGGGCACGGGCACGGGCAGATACGCATACGCATACGGAATACGCATACGCAGAGGCAGAGGCAGAGAGATAATCTCTTTCGGGCGCCTCAGCTGGACCAAGAGGCTAGCGGGACGAGGAATCCTGCTTTGCTTTTGTTTCCGCTTCGCCGAGGCAAAACCCTTCTCCGGAGCACTCTCACTCTCTCGCAACGCAAAACGGCGCCTGTCCGCGTTAGAGAGTGACTCACGTTTTGAAAGAGCGTCAGCATGCCCGGAATGCTGGCGGCTTGCAACGGCCGCGGCTTCACGGCCTGATGATAATGACGCGCGAGAGAGAGCGAGAAAGGACGGGTCGTGACCAGGGGTGGAGAGGAACGGGGATGGCGGAAAGAAACGGGAATGGGGGGGGACGGGGAGGAAACGAGGGAGGGGGAGAGAGGGGGAGGAAAGGGAGGGGAATGGGGATGTGAAACAGTGCGAAGCACGGTACGAAGCACAATCAGCGTTTGCGGCAAAGACGGAGGAAACAGAGGGGTGGGGAAGAAAACAGCGGTGGGGAAGAAAACAGCCCACCTTGTTAGTTTTGACCGACACTAGATCATCGGCCGTGAGCGTCTCTCCCGTGACGGGACATGATCCCGACTCCTGCAACGCGAGACATGCGAACAACGGGGCCATGAAACAACGGCACAGGCACATCAGAACGGTGCTGAGAATTGATCTCCAGTAACGAGCAGCGGCGCGAGCGATCAGAAAATATTATCTCACGACCGACAAGGCGGTGAATTGAGATGGAATATCCAACCATCCAGATCTCGATCCGCAAATCGTCTAATGAGAATCGATTTAGGATTTCAGGACCATGCTTGCGAACGTGTTACGGGGACGTGAAACAAATTTAATTCTTAGAGCTCGATCTGGACTTACGGCAATGGCCTTCTCAATAAGACGACGCTCGAAGAGAAGCCCGGATTTTACGGAGACGACTGGATCTTCCGGAGTGACGCCGCTGACTGGATAAGTTAAAAAAAGGAAAAAAAAAAGTGGCGGGAACATCTATATTAGACGGATTTGAGGGAGATAGCGAGTGATAAAAAAAAAATATACTGCAAATTGTTTACTATGGAACAAGAATAAGCTCTAACTGATTGAGAGGATTAAACAAATCAGGGCGGCGAGGTGATGAGTCCCATAAATATAATTTAAGCTAAAAAGATCTGACTGCGACGTTGACGAAGGAAGCTATAGAGTACACGGATCTCCGAGCTCTAAAAAGGATTGTCATGTTCCGTAGATTAACACTGGTGTCGTATCTCTCAAAACCCTGACTAGGGTACTGGACTACGGCGCTTGCTTACTTGCGCAAAACATATTGTCGCAGCCGATGCGGCTCGAGATCCACTCCGGCTGACCCAAACTGGTCCGAATAATTTTTTCTTCTAAGGCGCGAAACCAAGCTAATGCAAGACGGAACCAGAGTAGAGTTACTAAACACTGGTTCGGGTGACAAGATCGAAGCTTGTGCAATGTGCAGGTGCGAGAGCGAGAGAGATAGGAGAGAGGGTTGCGGGGGAGCAGGAGGAGGATGACTGGGAGGAGGAAGGGGGAAAGCGAGGCGGAGGAGGGGGTGGGGCCGTGGGGCAGATCTTGGTCAGCGATTGGGGTTTGTGTTGCAAAAAGCGATCTTCGATATTAGTTAGAATTTGTTATGAGTCGTAAAACAGAGTTGCACGGAAAACGAATAACGAAGCTTTGACTCAATGACATGACAATATTGTCTACTCTACATATGTAATCAATTAATAAGCATCTAGCTCGCCTACATGGATTCTTCAGGATATTTAGTCCCACATTGAAGCACACGTGTCAGTTGACTTCATATACAACAGCATTGTATTCGCGTTATAGCGATGAGGCGATCGGTACAACTTTCGTGTCCATCCGACGGGCATCATCTATTCATGTTTATCAACTTCCGGCGATATCACTGGACGGTTGCGATGTGTTGATGGGACGAGATTGGCTACAGCGATATGATCCGACGATCGACTGGACGACGGGGGCGTGCACGGTGCTGGGCAACAAGGGACGTGTGACGCTTCCGAAATGGGCGGAGCCGGAGCCAATGACGACACATGTCAACGCGATAATGCTGAGGGCGATGAAAAGGGGAGCACAAGGCTACGCTGTACAGCTGTATGAGGTGGTTGCGTCCGATAATATCCTGAAATTTTCGCGGATGACCTGCGTGATGGGCTGCCACCTCAACGACCAGAAGAACACGGATCGAGCTGGAGCCTGGCGCACAACCAACTATTCGGTCCCAGTGACGGCTCAGCCAACCGGATGTCGACGAGTCGCGGGAATAGTTGAATCATCTGCTCTCGAAAAAAATTCATTCGGTCGAGCATGTCACCATTCGTCGCCCCGATACTATTCACACCGAACAAGGAAGGAGGCCTGCGCATGTGCATCGATTATCGAGTGCTGAATTGGATCACTATCAAGTCGCTTCACCCGATTCCGCGAGCGGACGACCTGCTGGATCAGCTTCGCGGGTTCGCATCTTCTCGAAAATCGTTTTGCGAGGTGGCTACCATCAAATTCGCGTGTCCGCCGACGACTGCCCGAAGACTGTTTTTTGCACCCGCTATGGCAGCTGCGGATATACAGTGATGCCATTCGGGTTGACGAACGCGCCCTCGACCTTCTAGCTCACCATGAACGGGGTGTTTCCAGCTCAAAATGATTGCCTGCCTGGACGACATCGTAGTGTACAACAAGATTTGGGAGGAGCATTTACGTGATTTGGAGGAGGTGTTTCAGCGCTTGAGTAGAACCGATTAATTACGAAAGGCTCTAAGTGCGAGTTCTTACAGTCGGAGCTGGCCTTTGACGAGCTCAAGAAATTTTTGAGTTCACCCCAGGTGCTTCGGCTAGCAGATCCATCTCGACCATTCGAAGTCGTGACGAACGCCAGCGATTTCGCCGTCGGAGCCGTCCTTCAACAGGATTTTGGCAACGTGTTGCAACCAATCGCGTACGAGTTACGGAAAATGCAGTCGTCCGAGCGCAACTACCCTGTACACGACAAAGAAATGCGCGCCATCGTGCATGCATTTCGCCCTGGCGCTGTTATCTCACGTGCGTTGACGTCTCGATCAGGATAAACCACAAGTCCGCATCTCAACCCGCGACAAATCCGGCGGCTCGATTGCTTCGAGTCAAATTCCGCTACACCATCACGTACAAGAAGGGCGCCAACAACATCGCCTACGCCCTGACCCACCCATCAATGCAGACCGCCGCTGTACTAGTCGCCCATTCCAACCCTTTATTATCAGGCCTCTTCCAGCACGGATACAGGACTGTCGAAATATGTTTGTCATATTTTATAACTGCTTGTAGTTGTAGTGTAGTTATTGTACTTTGTAGGTGGTGCACCAACTATGTTTCCTATGCTATATGTTTCTTGAAACCTATAGTGAAACTCATTTCTCCAACTTTTCTCCTCTCCAACTCACTCGATACCTCTCCTAGGGAAAATCCCGCTCGATACCTAAGTTCGGGCCTAGGCTACTAAGCCTAGGCCCCACCTCTTACCTTACCTATTACTCTCGACAAGGACCGACCACTTTTTCAGGATGAATCAACACCAACGGGTCACCACGCGACACGGGAGTTATCACCTAAAAGTCCGTACCAACTGAGTTTGGGTACCTTCCTACTAACCCTTATGAGAATTGCTGACGAAGGATGTGAGGATCGAGGATCGAGCTCAGAAAAGAGAGTTTGAATTGAATGATCACCTGGGTACAACACGAGGCTATATATAGGCTTGACACAAGGCCCAGTAACCAGGTGTTTGTTAAGAACTAAATCGAGTTTGGCTTAGAAGCCATAGTTTAGGAGTAAGTTTAGTGATCGAGTTGTGGGGTGTAAGGAAAATGTCGAGAGATTTTAGAAGGAGAATGTTGAAACTAGAAAGGAGGGGGATACAAGTAGTAAGCCCTAAAAGGGTTATACTCACTTTTGAGTACCCCACTACAGACTAGACATGCATTATAATCTGACAGTTTTACGCGAAGGTTCTACGGGTCGCGAACCGTCCCGAACAGACCCTTCCCAAATTCGGTAGAAGGCAATTCGGTGGCAACAGAAAAGCCCAGAATTCGGTGCACTCAACCTAGCTCGGTGCTATAACTAGAATAAAATATAGGAAAGCACCTAGCCTAGGAAATCAAGCAATTCATGCATGCATAAAATAATCCTATACTAGAAATAGCATAATGAAGTCTAGGCAAGCAAGCATAGCTGGCATAAGCCGTCGTACTCTCACACGTCCCTCCCTCAAGCTGGGTGGCGTGAGATACACCCTGCTTGACAAGATAGTCCTTGAGAGCACGGCGTGCGTTGCCCATATCAGCTTCTGCAACCCAACTGTCCTTAGTGGGGTCGTATCCCTTCCAGCGTATCAGGAACTCGAGGGTCTTGCCGCCGCAGCGCCGATGAGTCAGAACGCGCTCAATCTCGTACTTCGGTTCATCCTACACAAGGACAGGTGGAGGTGGCGGTAGGTGCCGTCCCTGGAACTGTAGGTTGGGGTTCTTGTAGGGCTTCAGTAGCTGAACATGGAAGGCGTTGTGAAGCTTCCACGTATCTGGTAAGCGCAAGCGGAATGTAACTGGTGTCACCTGTGCTTCCACGACAAATGGACCATAGAAGTGAGGCCGGAGTTTGGATGGAAGGTGAGACAGGTTCAAGTTGCGCGTGTCAAGAAGCACCTGATCTCCGACTGCTACTGAGTGGTCTTGTCGCTGACGATCGGCATACTGCTTCTGGGAGTTCAGCATCGTGATGGACGTCGCTGGGTCTTCTCCCATAGTTGCTGCATGGTGGTGACGAAGTCATGTGCGGCCTGGATGAGTGCTGGTGTGGTTGGCTGTTGGGGTGTGAGTGGTTCTCGTCCGTAACACAGGAAGAAAGGTGTTTTCCCTGTGGCCGCATGCGAGGTGTTGTTGTAGGCGAACTCTAGAGTCGGTAACTGTGTGTCCCAGTGGCTGATGTCGACCTTGCAAGCTGTGCGCAGTAACTGTTCAACCACCTGATTGAGTCGCTTTGTCTGTTCGTCAGTCTAGGGATGGTATACTGAAGACAACGCAAGCTTAGTCCCCAACAGTTTCATGAGCTCCTTCCAGAACTTACTCGTGAATTTGGAGTCTTAGTCTGAGATGAGTGTCAGAGGGAAGCCGTGGATGGTGATGATGCAGTCGAAGAAGAGGCGAGCAGTTGCTTCAGCTGTAGCCGTGGCGTTGGTCGGGATGAAGTGTCCCATTTTAGAGAACTTATCGATCACCACGAGGATGGCGTCATACCCTCGTGAGGTTGAAGGAAGTCTTGTGATGAAGTCGAGGCTAACGACTTGCCATGGCTGCTCCGGTACGGGTAGAGGCTGAAGTAACCCTGCTTTTTTCTGCTTGCTACTCTTCATCCGATGGCACGTGTTGCAGGGGGTGACGAACTGCTGCACGTCTGCTGCCATCCGCGGCCAGTAGTAATACTTTGCTATTCCCGCTAACGTCTTGTTGCTCCCGAAATGTCCCGCGTATGGTATGTCGAGAAACTCCTCTAAGAGGATCTGCCGTAGCGGGGCGTAATTTGGTACCCAAATCTTTCCTACAAGTCTTACTCCCACTGTAACAACTTCTGTTTCTCTGCCGTTGCTATCTCTGCGTCCACGGAGTACCCATGTTGGAATAGACCTTTTGAGCAAAGGGTTCATCCCATCGAGCTGGATTCCTGCTACATGACCGGGGCGGCTCAACGCGTCAGCTTTGTTGTGTAGCCCATGCTTGTAGACGATGTCGTAGTGGAAGTGGGTCTCCAGGAAGTCCACCCACCGCACCTGTCGTCGTGAGAGCGTTGGTTGCGACTTCAGGTATTTGAGGCTGCAGTGGTCAGTGTTTACTGTGGTCTTGGCTCCCTCTATGTAACACCTCCATGCCTTGAAGTCGCTCTTTGACAGCTTCACGTAGAACTTGTTTTCCCGCAGGATCTCAAACACCTTCCATAGATGCTCCACGTGCTCCTTCATGTTCTTGGAGTAGATGAGTATGTCGTCCAGGTACACCACTACGCACTCGTCGAGCAGGGGCCATAGAATGTGGTTCATCTCTGCCTGGAACGTTGCAGGTGCGTTGCAGAGTCTGAAGGGCATCACCAAGTATTCGTAGGAGCCGTATCTTGTACGGAACGCCGTTTTGTGGATTGAGTTGTCCGCCATCTTGATCTGCCAGTAACCGGACCGTAGGTCAAGCTTCGAAAAGACTGCTGTCCAGTAGGTCGTCTATGCGCGGTATGGGATATTTGTT